TTTTTTTTTTGTTCAGCCATGTGCTGAATCCCAGATGACTGACTTTTCTTAGAGGAATATATAATAGATGTCTATTTTCCCAAAAGCAATATCTAATAAACACACAGCTTAGAATCATAAATGCTAGAGATAAAACAGTCTTGAATAGTATCAACATAACTTTCCAACTAGTTCAATGTGGTATGACAAAGTCTTCTTTTCAAACAGTCATTTATAGGGCTTTCATCAGGTTACCTGGGCTATTATTTCACTGTGCGTAGCTCTCTTCTTAATATTCAGCCTAAAACACCCCTGAAATCAGAGCTGGAAAAATCTCTTGGTTAATTTGATGTTTTAAGTGTCGTTAATTTGATGTTTTAAGTGTCAGTACTATATCCAACAAGTACAAGAATTACAGGGGTTGAAAGAAACCCTCTGACTTACACCTCAGTGTTCATTCATAATGAGTTTTAAGATATCCTTTGAGCACAAAATGTTTTAGCCCCAAGTTTCAATAAATGTAGCTTTGAATTCGGGTGGCCGCTGCCCTGGTACTCACGGGCGCTGTTGATGATCTGCCTCATGATGAGGAGTGTCCCCACACGGGTCCTCTCGTTGCTGCTCTCCAGCTTGGGGAGGAGGAAGGCCAGCACACGGTCGGGGAAGGAGCAGGCTGCGGGAGCCAAAGTGACCCTCAGGGACACACATTGCCTCGGGGAGGGCCCCCAGCCCAAAGATTGAGGGTGCACGCACCAGACCCCCCACATGGAGACATCCCACCCCATATTCCCCTCCTCTCCTGGGCAGGCAGCTCCCCGGGATGCCGTGTCACCCCATGAGCCATGTTCCTGCTGCCCCGTCAACCCAGGAGCCACGTTTCTGCCATTGTGTCACCCCCATGAGCCACATTCCTGCTGCCCTGTCACCCCACAAGCCACGTTCCTGCCACCGTGTCACCCCACAAGCCAGGCTCACCGGCCCGTCCTGCTCTTCCCACCCAGACCTGAGCTTTTCTCCAGCGCTTTTTAGCACATTTCCTGCGCTCTCGAGGGAGCTGAAGGAGTTTAAATTATACCTCCCAACAAGCGCTGCCCCGGTCTGTCAAAACATTTTGATTGTTAAAAATAAAACCAGTCTGTCGATGCTGAAATTGGAGCAACGCTCGCGGGCATTTGTGAGGCGCGTTCGGCTCGGAGGCAGCGCAGCCTGAGTCTGAAGGTGGCTCGGCTGCAGCTTTGCCTTCAGGAAAGCTCAGAGAAAGGGACAGGTCTCCCTGCCGTGAATCAGCAGCGGCTCGTCCCACCGCTGCTCTTTTTCGGGCAACTAACTGCACACGCGTCCGTGCCACCAGCTTTAGCAACAAGGAGTAGGGACGAGCAGGGCACCCCCAGCGTCCAGCTATGCACCTGGCCATGCCGCAGAGCTCTCGGGGGCTGCTGCAGCTCACAAGGCACTGAAGAAACCCCCAAAACCGAGCCAGGCGCCTGTGGGAAGGTCCCTGGGAGGGGATGGTCAGGCCTGAGGCAGCCACGAGCTCCAGCAGAGCGGAGCTGGCCCCACGCTCCTCCTCGATGCTCACCCTGGACACCAGCCTTCAGGGACGCACAAAGCTACCACAAACCTGGAGCCACGGGCTAGAGCCAGGGCAGCCACCGCCACTCTCCTCTCCCTCCCGTCTCCCCAACGTGGCTACAAGATGCCCACGATTCTCCTCCAAGCCCAGCTGAGACCAGGGGGAACAAACCCCGGAGAAAGCCCAGCCAGGGCGCAGCACGCCCCCAACTCCCCACGGGTTCCAGCAGCAGGGACAGCCCCACCACATCATCCCTTACCCAGGACGGTGAAGCATCGAAGAACCTCGGTGTGATTTTTAACAGTCAGGGGGACAGATGGATCTGCAGGAGCACAAATCTGTTGGAGAAACACCCATGGTCAGGGATGTTCCCTGGAAGGGGTGCTGGCACGCGGCAGGGCCAGCCCTGGAGAGGCAGAGCCGGGCGTGGGGCAGAGATGTGGGGTGGGCAAAGCCTTGGGGCTGGGGGTGACAGCAGCCCACGAGCTCTGCCTGTGCTCCCAGCATCAAAGCGAGACCACCATGGAACAAGGTGCCAGCCCAGGAGCTGCGTGTGCCTTGGTTAAACACGTCCCACCACATACTGGGATCACCGGTTGCCTCCTGTGGAACCTCTTCACCGCAAGACAACCCTCCCAGGTGCTATTAAAATAATTCCGGCCCTTAATTCAATTTATATTGCAGCAAGGACAAGGTGCATCTGCTCACACGGGTCTGCCAAAAAGACACTTGAGGCTGCGAGTGAGCCCGAGCAGCTGCGCGAGGGCAGCCATGGCCCCCAGCCCCGAGCAGCTTTGGCCTGTCAAAACCCAAGACGCTCTTCCTACAAACGGCACCGTTATCGCCTTCCGTTGCGCATCACTTCGGTAAAAGGGTGTGTTTTAAAGGACAACCTGTCTGCTGGACACTTCCAAGACTCGAAGTATTAAAAAAAAAGCATTCAGATTTGTTTTAAGCCCTGGTAGCACGATTTGAAGAGTTTTGTAATAGAACAGAACTTGCAGCCCTGCAGCTGGAGAACGGCTCAGGAGGAGGCTGGGGGCTCCTGCCCTCGTTTATTCTCAAAGGGCAAACTTTTTAAAAGGTCCGTTGGTTTTGGTTTGAATCTGCTGCAGAACTGGGCAGGCCAGAGCCACTCTCACTCCAGACAACTTGGCTGTGCCTGTGACTCCTCGAGAGACGCGGTAGTAGGGTCCAGGGGCCGGCAGCAGCACCCGTGAGCAGCAGAGAGGCCGGGAGCCCGGGAGGGGCACGACCCAGGGCCAGAAAAGCTGATCCAGGGGAAGCCTCGAGCCCCGTGGAGCGAGCTTACAGCCAGTCTCCAGCGCCAACCCCCCCTCAGCCCCGTCCCGGGGTGGCTGCTCTGCCCAGCCCTTACCTGGGGGTGGAGGGTGCCCAGGAGAGGGTCCAGCTGCACGTCAAGGCTGCGGCTTCCGATGTTGACAGAAGCTTCCAGGATCTGGCAGAGGCTCTGCGCAGAAAGAGACTGGGTTAGTCCAATGTCAGTGTAGAAGAATGTTAAATATAACCTCTGGAATATTGGAATTAAGAGTTTAAGGCCTAGTGAAACGTGCTCAGGGCTTCGCTAGCCCGGGAGATTCCCAAGGCAACCGCAACGCTGCTCAACAGGCCTGAGAAGCGTTCTTAGCCTGCTGCTTGTATAGTCCCAGCCCAAGGCCGGTTTAAAACCCCGGCAAGCTGATCCTACAGAGACAGTTTGAACAAAGGATGGTTCCTTGACCAAACACAGGGGTTCTGCTACTTTAAGGGAATTTAGTACCTAGAAACTGCTCGCTCTACCTAAGCTTTTCATAGAACATCTTGAGGTTTTTCTCAGAATTGGGCGAGATGAAAACTAGTGGAAGGAAGATGAAGATGACAATGAACCGAAAGATGACCCTGAGACTGAAGCAGGGATTGGAACCAGAACAGAATTGGGCTGAGACGGGGGATTGTAGTGAACTGTAATAAATGAAGAGAATCAGGAACTAAAAGGTTGAGCAGAACCTTACAAAGACTTTGGACTTAGGTAACAGGTTTAGAAATAGTGTAGAAACCGTGCGAGGCCTTTGGGCATTGGCCACTCACTGCGGTGCTGGCCCAACCCTGAGCAGTTAATAAAGCAAACCCAGAGGCACCCCAGCCTGGTCATTCTGTTTCTTCCTTGAACAGTGCCCTCGCAGCGCCTCAGCTGAGCCCTTGTGTACGGACCTGGCCTCCAGAAGAGGAAGCCCCGGGCTCCCATTTAGGGCTGGGTGCTTTTATCCTTGTGCCCCGCAGCTCTGCTCGATTCCCTCTGTCCTCCCGTCCCGTAGGTAACGGTCCTGACTAACACCAGGAGAACACTTGGGCTCCAGAGGACCACAGAGGATGGTGAGGGGAGGGACCGCAGGTGACAGCAGCAATTGTGAACCCACGGCAGTGGCAGCAAAATCCATTTTCCACAGAAGACACAGCTTGGACACTCCCAAAAGCTGCCTCTTCCCCTGATGCCATGGCAGGAGGCCACGAAGGGGCAGGCTGGGCACTACGAGCCATGGCGGTGCATGCTGAGAACCCGGAGATGGCAGCAAAGATGGGCTGCAGCCCGCTCCATCCTCCCAGATCAGCGGGCACGACTGCCCAAGGCTGGGCTGGGCACTGAGAGGGATCACAATGCCGGGAGAGGAACCTCCTGTGGGAAAGGCAGCTGCAGCCTGGGTGTGAGCTGTGTGATGCCAGCAGTAAGAGAAGAACTAAAGAACCCCCCATCGCACTCTGAGACAGGCAGAGCTGCCGCTCAGTGTCCTGCCTGCGCTCATGGACGGCTGCTGGCACCGCTCGACCATAACAGCGGGCAAAGACAGGGTACCACCCCACATCCAGCAAGGGCTGGGGACACATCACAGAACCCCAGAATCATCTGGGTTGGAAAAGCCCTTGCAGCTCCTCCAGCCCAACCATGACCCTCCCCTGACCGTTCCCAACTCCCCCAGATCCCTCAGCGCTGGCTCAGTCCGACTCTTCAACCCCTCCAGGGATCCCGGGGACTCCCCCCTGCCCTGGGCAGCCCATTCCAACGCCCAACAGCCCCTTCTGCACAGAAATCCTTCCTCAGAGCCAGCCTGACCCTGCCCTGGGCAGCTTGAGGCCATTCCCTCGGGGCCTGGCGCTGGGGCCTTGGCTCCAGAGACTCATCCCCCCTCTCTGCCCCCTCCTGGCAGGGAGTTGCCGAGGGCCAGGAGGTCTCCCCTCAGCCTCCTCTTCTCCAGACTGAACCCCCCCAGTTCCCCCAGCCGCTCCCCAGCAGACCTGTGCTCCAGACCCTGCCCCAGCTCCGTTGCCCTTCTCTGGCCACGCTCGAGTCATTCAATGGCCTTTTTGGGGTGAGGGGCCCAGAACTGAACCCCCTCAGCGAGGGGCGGCCTCCCCAGTGCCGAGCCCAGGGCTCAGATCCCTTCCCTGTCCCTGCTGGCCACGCCAGTGCTGACACCAGCCAGGATGCCGTTGCCCTCCTTGGCCCCCTGGGCACACTCTGGCTCATTCTCAACCCCCCCAGTCCCTCTCTGACCTGCCACTTTCCAGATTTGCCACCTGCGCTATTTCTACGCTTTCATTAGCAGCTGGGCTGGCCAAGAACTGCTGGCTCGTTGACCCAGGCAAGCCAGTGCACAGCACCCCAACAGGTTCATCTGGTCCCTGGGCCAGCAAGCGCTGCGTGTGAGCACACGCTCTCACGAGCCAGGCGGGTGGGTGAGGAGAGCACGTTTGTGTAAAGGCTCGAGCACAAGGCTCCGGCAGAGGCCGGTGACCGCAGGGGATACCCACCTTCCACCTGCCCCCCGAGGAAGCCTTCCCCACAGCTTCTCACGGGCTTCCCCACGGATTTGCAGAGTACCCGGGGCAGCCGAGGCATCACCTAACACTGAGAGCAGCAGCTCTCGGCTGCAAACATCATCTGAGTCTTTTCTCAGGAGCTCCTCTGCAGGACACCACTCGGCACAAACCTCTCTGGGCTGAGCCCCACGCCGGTGCCGAGCGCGGTCACGGCAGGGAGGCTGTGGGTGCTCCCCGCATCTTTGCCCAAGCACCAGCTCCTTCCAGCCCCGTTCCCAGGACCCCCCAGGCACCGGGGCACATGTGAACGGGTGCTGTGGGGCACGCAGGTGCTCTCTTCCTTAATCCACGGATGTGCAGCGAGGCTCTTGTAGCCTCCTTGCCCTTCACTAGCCATTTCTTAAGGAAAGAGGCAGCCTGGGGCTTGCAGAGCCGGTGTTGTGCCGCCGACGCAGCCAGGCCCAGAGCCCTGGCTGCCAGCATCGCCGCCGAGCAGTAGAATGGGACCCGGGGCAGGGGGGCGAGGCTGAGGGAAGGGGTGAGGAGAAGGATCACGGCCTGCTCAAGGGTGGAGGCAGCCCCGGAGCAAACCTGCTCCAGGGCCTGGCTCAAGCAGCCTGCCCAGGACGAGCTCACGGGCCCCTCTCCTGTTGGAGATGGATGATTCCTGCAATCCTGGAGCAGCACCCCAGGGAAGGGGCCACTGCGCCCATGCGATACCCCCACCCCTCCCCAGGGCAAGGAAGTCACCGAAGAGGAGCTGGCTCAGCTCCACTGGGGAGGGAAACCTCGCAAGCCACGTCCTGCGCTGAAGGGGCAAATTGAACCCCCTCCCTGAAGGCCCGGGACCCTCGGTGCGAGGTTTCCTGCAGTAAGAGAGCACGACTGAAGGAAACGAGCGCCGGCCCCATGCCGCAGCGAGAGGCGCCGGAGGAGCACGGTGTGTTCTGGCACACCCGCTGCCCGGTGCCGTTGGCGCGGTGCCTGTGCTCGCCGGTGGGCGCTGGGGAGCCCGGTTGTGCCTGAGCCCCCATGTTTGGGGGACGGAGACACCACCACGGCCCTGAGGATGTGAGATGAGAGCGAGGGCACCCCAGCTCGCCGGGTCCCCGAGCACGAGCTCAATGCACCCACGTTACCACATCCAGAGGAGGAAGCAGGTTCCCATGGGAGGAAGAGGAGGAGAGAGGGGGTCCCGAGGAAGGAGCCTGCCCACCACACGCGTGGCAGACGCGGCAGGGCTTGCACAGCTCTCTCCTCGCCCACAGCCGAGGTTTATTTTCAGCCCGGCAGGATCAGAGATGCTGAGTCACTCCGTGACCTCGTCCCGGAGCCAGATCAATCACACGCCTCCTCACCCTCGCCGAACGCAAGAAAGCGCTGCGAGCGCTGCCCTGCCTGCTGGAGGAGATCGTCGTCACCCTCAGCGCTGAGCCCTGCTCTTCTACTACCCTTAATGGGGGGGCCAGGAACCCCCCAAGCTGCTCCCCGCGGCTCAGATGGGGTGGGAAGGGTTTGGAGGGGACATCCCGGTGCTGGACCCCCAGTGGAAGGGGCCAGAGTGGAGCTCGCGCTGCTGAGGATGCACCCGCAGGCCTGGCTGCTCCCAGTTCCCACTGATGCCCCCGCCGGGGGGGGGCGGGAAGGGGCCCAGCTCTCCCCCATCACACCCAGCCCCTTTCTGTTGCAAGGAGAGAAATCCAACCCCCCCAGCCAGCCCCCAGGCTGCAGCCACAGCACCCTCGTTTAGGCTGAGCCCTCCGAAATTTTCTATGAGAAGTTTGTCTTGACAAAAGGGAACACTTCTGGCCAAAACCATCAAGTCCTCTCCCCCAGCTTAAAGGTAGATGGGTGCAACGGCAACAGGCAACGTCATGCCTGGTTTTCTGGGGGTTTTTGGTGGGGTTTTTTGTTTTTTTGTTTTTAAAAAAAAGCCTGTAGCCAGCAGCCCAGGGGCAAGAGCTACTCCAGCCAGCGAGGTTTTAGGACGCAGCTGGGAAGCTCATTCCCCTCCCTGGAGTGGGGCCACCGAGGGCACCCCTCTCCCAGGTCAGAAAGTGGCGCCTGGCCGACTCCGCCGGCGCCGTAAAGCCAGGATCAGGTCCCTGCCTCCACCTCACCATCCTTGCCTTCAGCCCAGACCAAGCTCCACGTAACTACCCTGTAGCCCGGGACCTCCTTGTCCACATCACTTGCTGCGAGACACCCTGGGACAGTAAAACCGCCCTGAAAAGATCTGTCAGCATCGTGCGCTGGGCTGACTCCAGTTACCTCATCTGCCTTTCAGCTATTGCAAGTTTTGGCTAAAAATGACACAGAACCCATATGGAGCTGGAAATCCAGCATGCTGGCAGGTGATATCTTCCCTTCAGCAGGCAGCTGCTGGAGACGGGACATCCCCTCCCGGCAGCCCCGTACCCACCCCGCAGCCTCCTCCTGCTCTCAGGGGATGTGGGGAGACATGTCCTCCTGTGCCCCAGCCTTCAGCCCAGTTTTCTGCACGCTCTCAGGTCAATGGTGGACAGGAGCGAGGGGCTGACGGGGGGCTGGAAGGGCTTTTGGGGTCAAGGCAGGACCTGCTACAGATCCACACGGGCTGCTTAAAAAGGCTCATCCTCCCTCCGCTGCTCCCCTGCACCGGCAGCGCTTTGGAGGCTTCGCGGGCTTTAGGGGATGAGTTAAGAGGCTGCAAGTGCCCTGCAAGAGCGAGAAACTGCCCGTGCCTCAGCGGCAGCAGCGACAGGAGCGTTTGGGGAGGAACACGTGTGGAAACGGGATGTCACATTTCTCAGGACCAAACTTGGGGAGAGGAGAGCATGAAGCCAAAAGAAGTGATTGCTGGAAGCGAGGAAGGAGAAAGAGCTGCTGATGGTGGAGGGCTGCTCTGGAAAGAGCCACCTGAACCTCAGAACAGAGTTTTACCCGGCTGGTCCTCCCCAGCCATGCCCAAACAAAAGGATCCCATATCCACTGGGCCAGGCAGTGCTGACAGAATCCCAGAATCATCCGGGTTGGAAAAGCCCTTGCAGCTCCTCCAGCCCAACCACGACCCTCCCCCTGACCGTTCCCAACTCCCCCAGATCCCTCAGCGCTGGCTCAGTCCGACTCTTCAACCCCTCCAGGGATCCCGGGGACTCCCCCCTGCCCTGGGCAGCCCATTCCAACGCCCAACAGCCCCTTCTGCACAGAAATCCTTCCTCAGAGCCAGCCTGACCCTGCCCTGGGCAGCTTGAGGCCATTCCCTCGGGGCCTGGCGCTGGCTCCTTGGCTCCAGAGACTCATCCCCCCTCTCTGCCCCCTCCTGGCAGGGAGTTGCCGAGGGCCAGGAGGTCTCCCCTCAGCCTCCTCTGCTCCAGACTGAACCCCCCCAGTTCCCCCAGCCGCTCCCCAGCAGACCTGTGCTCCAGACCCTGCCCCAGCTCCGTTGCCCTTCTCTGCCCACGCTCGAGTCACTCAATGGCCTTTTTGGGGTGAGGGGCCCAGAACTGAACCCCCTCAGCGAGGGGCGGCCTCCCCAGTGCCGAGCCCAGGGCTCAGATCCCTTCCCTGTCCCTGCTGGCCACGCCAGTGCTGACACCAGCCAGGATGCCGTTGCCCTCCTTGGCCCCCTGGGCACACTCTGGCTCATTCTCACCCCCCAGTCCCTCTCTGACCGGCAGCTCTCCAGCCACTCCTCCCCAGGCCTGGAGCCCCCCTGGGGGTTGTTGTGGCCCAAGGGCAGCCCCCGGCATTTGCCCTCAGTGAAACTCCCCCAGTTGGGCTCAGCCCATGGCTCCAGCCTGCCCAGGGCTCTCTGCAGCCTCCCTGCCCTCGAGCAGACCCACACTCCCACCCAGCTGGGTGTCATCTGACAAGCCATCCCCAACAGGAACAGTAGCAGATCTCCCATCCCAAAAGAGGCAGCCAGTTGGCCAAAAGACGTGCCAACACCAACCACCCTACACCAGCTCAGGGGTTTGGTTGTGCTGGCCTGAGGAAGGATGGTTCTACCCCCAGAGATCACCTGGCCCCAGTTTGCAGAGAACACACCTGTAGAGAAACAGCCCAAGCGCCGCACACTCTCCCTTTGAGCTCATCAGAGCGGAGCAAGAGCTCCTGAGGTCACAGCAGCCCTTCAAATCCAGCAGTGGAGACTGACAGGGCTGCAGCGGATCCCAGCATCGAGCTGAGACACAAAGCACCTCGTTTCCAGGAGAAAGGGATGCTGCTGCCCACAGTCCTGCCCCATCCCTGCAGCGCGCAGGGCTGCTCAGCCCGCCCATCCCTCGACTCACGGAGCCACATTGCCAGGCCTGGGGGGAAAGTATCAGCAGGGAATAAGAGCGACCGCGCCAGCACCGCGCTCCAGCAGCTCCTGCCATGTCTGTTGCAAACTGTGAAACTCCACTCCCCCAGAACACCTCTTATTTCTGCCCCACTACAGAGAGAAAACAGCAAATCCTGAGGATCCTCTGGTGGGTATTAAGAAAGCTGCTGTCACGCAGCTCGGGGCATCATCCTGTGGCTCGGGAGAGCGTCACCGCAGGCACAAAGCGACTGGGGCCAGGACCCGGCGTGTCCAGGCGAAGGTGGATCAGCTCCGGCTATAGACCGAGTGTAAGGACCTGAAGGAATTGATGCCTCCAACTTTCCCTGACACAGAAAACCTCAAGGACAAGCTGCAGCCTTTGGATTAGTCTAAGAGATGTCCCCCGAGGGAGCGGGGGGTGTGAAGGATTCACCCCCCACTCCCTTGCAGCTGCACAACGAACTCCGTAGATATGGAGCCCTCAGATGGACAAAATCAGGTTGTGTTCCCCTCAAGCCCAGCCTCCGCCACTGAAGTGGCAACAAGAACTGATAAGAGATGATCATTTCTGGGGTGACTGAGAAGATCTCTGGGAACAGAGGAAAAAACAAAGCTGGGCAATGACCATCGACCCAACGGGAACCCCTGCTCCACCTTTTCCCTCCTTTCTCATGGAAATGAATTGGTGGAATCCCTGCCCCTCCCCGTCTAGTATGCAAATCACCTGATAACATGAATTTAAAAAGGTAACAGAAACTTTGCTGGGTGTGCACCCACCACCCAGGATTACTGGACCTGAGACAATGCTGGATCCAGGGGTGCTGATCCTGATTTCTCTGACTCTCTTTCTCTCCTTTCTTTTTCTTTCCTTTCCTTTCTTTTATTTCTTGCAGATTTTTAAGAGACCACATTGCTTATTATCCTTTTCCGAGTTTAAATTGTTCTCTACCCCAAGTAAAACATTTTAATCAGTCGTTAGCAGTTAATTTTAACCATTCGGCGAGCCCACGGCTGGAGGAGGGAGTCACGAGAAGGGAGCCCCGTGACATCCTGCCAGCCCGCCAAAAGTGTCACATCCTGAAACCAGCCCATGAGAATGACAGAAGCAGCTTGGGCAAGAGCTGGCCCCGCACCGTCGCTGCATCCCGGCCTCCTCCCAGCTCCTGTCAGGGCTAAACGCTTGTGCTGTTGCGAGGAGCCAAGTTCATGGTCTTACTAAAGGGGCAGGCTGGTTTCCAAGTCCCCGGTGGTGCGTCCCTCCCTCCTTTCCGTTCCCAGCGGGCTGGTCACCCCGACCTGAGTTGGGATGGCTCTGGAGCATCCCTGTCCTCTGCACCAAAGGAGGGCACCAGTACTCACTGGGCTGCAAAATGGGAGCGACAGGGATCAGACAGGAGGTGGAGAAGGACTTTTGGTGGATCCCAGTGACCCCAGAGCCAGCCAGGTCCCTGCTCCCAGGCACTCAGGAACGGTCCATCTGAGCCAGCTCTCCAGTCCCCACCCACAGTCCCTGCTTTTCCAGGAAAAAGTCTCCCACAACACATC